TCAGATGAATGGGATATGTGGCATACATTGGGGAGATGAGAAACATAAAAATGTAAACAATTGGTTGACCTAGCCATAAATGGGAACATAGTTTTAATTTTTTTCTTTAAATTGTGTGTGAGAATGTGGACCTCATTCAATTGGCTCAGCGTAATATCCAGTGGTGAATTTGTAAATATGGCAGTGAACCTTCAGGTTTCACAAAAGCAAGGAATTACATGACCAGCTGAGCAATGATAGTCTTGTCAGTAAAAATTCAACACCCTGGTGTCAAATGCTTAGAATTACATGTCAGCCATGTCCAGTACCCCCCAGGTTTATGTGAGCAGGTCTCATCATTCAAAATCTGGTCACATTCCTGTGTGTGTGATAGCATTATTTTTTAAGCTGGTTTGAACCTAAACTTAAGAAGCCAATATTTCCTGTCTTTCCATGCCTATAAAAGTCCTTTATAGCATTTATCGTGTAACACAGAGACCACAAATGTCTGCCACGTGTTTTGTGCAGCGTGCATGGTAATATTGTAACTCTGTATAATGAAAAAAACTAGAGTTGCATAAATTAAGTATTTGATTTTAAGTGAATAATTAATAACAGTTATTTGTTAAATAAAATTATTGAGCAGGATGCGAACCTACTTACAACAGTTAGTAGCATTTTTAATAAATTGCTATCATTTATAACCTTGTTGCCTAAGATTCTGTAAGAAAGGTTGAATGTGGCTCCAGATCTTGAAAGATGAAAGCCCTGGTGTAACAGTTTGAACATGATAGTTAGTTCATGCATGGCTATCTACACAATCTTTTCTGTTAATAGCATGCTTTCATTCTTTTGTTGAAATAACACTTCCTGGCATGTAATTTCTGTACCTCTTTCCACGATGGGATAACTATTTTAAAAATTAAACTCATCAGTTTCAAGAAGACACACAAATACAATAATGCTGATTATTGAGGCAAACAAGCTGTGAATGTTGACTTGCGACAACTTTCTTCTGTCTACAGTGTAAATGTGAACCAACATAATTTTGCATGTTTGGGTGGAAAGGGGCACACAGAAAGTTTGATGTATCTTTAAGCTGAAAATGGCTTAATTAACTCTGTGTTGCATTACTTCTGTTCTATGCTTTCTTCTTCCAATGCAGACATTCAACAGTTAGGATGACTTCTGCTTCTAACATCCCTATTCTAGTCGAAGGACCTTATAGGTAAGGTCTTTGATTCTATCTGTTACACCTAGTAATTATATATCTGCTTGCAGTTTTAATTTCAGGAATTGGCTTCTGTATCATACTGAACTGTGAAGCTGAATTCACATTTTTGTATGACTTTTAACATTAAAAATTTATACAATAATTTATTTACCGTCTTTACACAAACTTAAAAATGTTGTTAAAATTACTTAAAATTATAAAAAAAATTTATTAGATACTAGATCTTGTTACATTTTACATTTGACGACATGTTTCGATGTTATTTCATCATCATCAGGTCTATCAATTAAAAATTTAGCATTGTTATATTAAAAATGTTTGATATTGCATTCTTACAGATAATGGATGATGTGACATGACAGAATTATAAATTTGCATTATATATAAAGATATGAATGCATAGGTGACTATCACATTTTTTTGTAGCTAGGGAGGCAGAAAAGGGTCTTAAAATAAGCAAACAAACTATTAACACTATAAAAGGACACTAGTGCCAGATGCATTTCAACCTCAAGAGGCAACAGGGAAATTAATTCATTTAATCAAAATGGTTTCAAATTGGTTTAAAAAAAAGTGTTAAGTGTTAAGAAAAGGGTCTGATTGAAACTAATATGTAGCATTGGTAAAGTAAGTATGTAAGTGTTAATTCGCAGAAATTCAGTTCAAGGAAAGATGGCACCATGTAAACATACCACTGTTACCATATGAAGGTGGCCTACTTCTGTTTCTCTGTTTTCCATTAGTCACCAAATGTAAAATTACAACTTTTCCACTTTATTTGTTGTGAATATTTATGTTGTCAAAGCAACAAGTACCAATTGTTTTTTCACTTAATTTTAATTCTGTTTATTGTAATTTCATACCAATTCTGGCAGTAAAGCCAACACTTTGGCATTGTACAAAGAATGTCTGTGTAATAGAAGTCTTTAATTTGAAATAGATAGAGTTTGCTTATGTGTGTGTGTGTAAAATTTTATTTTTTCTGAATTGTGGTAACTTTTAAAGAAGTGATGAGGTCTGATGATCTGATGATAAATGATTTAAGAATATTGGAAAAATTAACATTTTTCATAGTAAAAATGCCACGTTTTTACTCGTGAAGTTTTTATCATTTTCATTTCATGCATATAACATGCAACTTCCAGTTGGGAAGTTGAAGAGTGTGAAAATTTGTTTCAGTGCAAAGTGAAATTCAGGATTTAGTAAGCCATTCTATTTTATAACATTTGTAATGTGGAATGGAATGTTATGTGTTTTTATTTTCATGAGACTTTGTTAAAATGTCTGTTCCTAATCATGTGTAATGCACTTGATATTGGATGAGTCAATGTCTAAAGCAAGGTAACCTCTCTTTTCTATTAGGAATCGTACACCATCTGGCTCAAGCACACCCATTCCAAGTGGGGCCAAAGTTGCAAGGAAGACATCTGGTGCCTCTGATACAGCTACAGGAACCTCACGCAAGAGTTCTAAAGCTGCCACACCTATTGAATCACGGGCACCATTCAGACTTTAGGGATCAAGTGTATCAACATATGAGCCATTTGTAACTGACATGAAACAAATTTCAAATCAAAATAACTTAGTTTCTTCAAGTTACAAGGTGTGATGTGAAGCAGAAATTATTTCACAATAAAAGACAAATTTAGAGAATTGATTTTCATGTCTTCATGTATTTATAGATTAAAAGTTGTTTTTTAATTACATTTCAGTTAGATTCATCTCACACATTCATTTCTGTAGTTATTTTTACACCTTGAAACTGGAGAGTTCAACACGTTTGTTATAATTCTTTTGAGGGACCATTCATTTTAAGTTCTGGAAATGGCAATGTGATGTTACTGTCCCTGTGAGAAATACTTTTTGTTAATTGTTGGATGTTTTATTTTCTAAGATTATTTTTAAGCAGCACCAGTCTTTTATTTAAAATATGAGGTGGGTTGTGTTTCTTTGTTACAACCATATTAACTTACTTGCTGATAACACAATGTAACTGCAAGATGTGGACACTGTTATGGTAAAGGAGCTGACACCAATATTAGCATGCAGTTACAAAATGGCAATAACAAGTATGTAACAATATATTCTGCTTCATCACACCTTTTATTTTGAAGTTCCTTTGATTAAAGGAACTAAATAATTATAATGTAATTATTAATTTATAACTACATAATTTAAGTATGAATCAAAGTTATGAAAATATAGATGTTTGGTTAAATTAACAACAAGATGAAATAATGCAGTTCAGGGGTTTTACTTTCCATCTGTGTAGAATAAGTATGTGCCATCATTGTCATGTTGGTAAGTTAACCAAACCTAATTTATTTGCAGACTTTAGGAAATAAATCAAACATGCTTTAATTACACACACTGTATACTCTTTTTATAATAGAGCTAATATATATAAATATATATATTATTTTTATTAACATTCTCAGCTTATTGCCACAAAGTCACTTATGTTTATTCACATACTTGTGATAATTTTAATTTAGTTGTACATTAACATAATCATTGCAGATTATTTTTCACTTTGTATGTTTTTGTCTGTTTTGTACCTAAATGCAATCACTGATAACAGAAGACAGATTGTGATTTGTCGATTGATCGAGTATGACCGTGTTCGGTCGCTGTATATATTCCTAAGGTAACGTCCATAAAACTGTGAGAGCAAGAGTGTTAGTCAAGTTTTGTGTATAAATATTTTTTTATTTGTGAAGTATCCATGAAAAATTTAATATAAAGATACAAGCACAAAGTAAGTACATGTCAGTTCTAAACATATATTCCTTTTGTTTTGTAACATTTCTTTTCCCAGGTTTATGTGAGCAGGTCTCATCATTCAAAATCTGGTCACATTCCTGTGTGTGTGATAGCATTATTTTTTAAGCTGGTTTGAACCTAAACTTAAGAAGCCAATATTTCCTGTCTTTCCATGCCTATAAAAGTCCTTTATAGCATTTATCGTGTAACACAGAGACCACAAATGTCTGCCACGTGTTTTGTGCAGCGTGCATGGTAATATTGTAACTCTGTATAATGAAAAAAACTAGAGTTGCATAAATTAAGTATTTGATTTTAAGTGAATAATTAATAACAGTTATTTGTTAAATAAAATTATTGAGCAGGATGCGAACCTACTTACAACAGTTAGTAGCATTTTTAATAAATTGCTATCATTTATAACCTTGTTGCCTAAGATTCTGTAAGAAAGGTTGAATGTGGCTCCAGATCTTGAAAGATGAAAGCCCTGGTGTAACAGTTTGAACATGATAGTTAGTTCATGCATGGCTATCTACACAATCTTTTCTGTTAATAGCATGCTTTCATTCTTTTGTTGAAATAACACTTCCTGGCATGTAATTTCTGTACCTCTTTCCACGATGGGATAACTATTTTAAAAATTAAACTCATCAGTTTCAAGAAGACACACAAATACAATAATGCTGATTATTGAGGCAAACAAGCTGTGAATGTTGACTTGCGACAACTTTCTTCTGTCTACAGTGTAAATGTGAACCAACATAATTTTGCATGTTTGGGTGGAAAGGGGCACACAGAAAGTTTGATGTATCTTTAAGCTGAAAATGGCTTAATTAACTCTGTGTTGCATTACTTCTGTTCTATGCTTTCTTCTTCCAATGCAGACATTCAACAGTTAGGATGACTTCTGCTTCTAACATCCCTATTCTAGTCGAAGGACCTTATAGGTAAGGTCTTTGATTCTATCTGTTACACCTAGTAATTATATATCTGCTTGCAGTTTTAATTTCAGGAATTGGCTTCTGTATCATACTGAACTGTGAAGCTGAATTCACATTTTTGTATGACTTTTAACATTAAAAATTTATACAATAATTTATTTACCGTCTTTACACAAACTTAAAAATGTTGTTAAAATTACTTAAAATTATAAAAAAAATTTATTAGATACTAGATCTTGTTACATTTTACATTTGACGACATGTTTCGATGTTATTTCATCATCATCAGGTCTATCAATTAAAAATTTAGCATTGTTATATTAAAAATGTTTGATATTGCATTCTTACAGATAATGGATGATGTGACATGACAGAATTATAAATTTGCATTATATATAAAGATATGAATGCATAGGTGACTATCACATTTTTTTGTAGCTAGGGAGGCAGAAAAGGGTCTTAAAATAAGCAAACAAACTATTAACACTATAAAAGGACACTAGTGCCAGATGCATTTCAACCTCAAGAGGCAACAGGGAAATTAATTCATTTAATCAAAATGGTTTCAAATTGGTTTAAAAAATATGGTAAAGTGTTAAGAAAAGGGTCTGATTGAAACTAATATGTAGCATTGGTAAAGTAAGTATGTAAGTGTTAATTCGCAGAAATTCAGTTCAAGGAAAGATGGCACCATGTAAACATACCACTGTTACCATATGAAGGTGGCCTACTTCTGTTTCTCTGTTTTCCATTAGTCACCAAATGTAAAATTACAACTTTTCCACTTTATTTGTTGTGAATATTTATGTTGTCAAAGCAACAAGTACCAATTGTTTTTTCACTTAATTTTAATTCTGTTTATTGTAATTTCATACCAATTCTGGCAGTAAAGCCAACACTTTGGCATTGTACAAAGAATGTCTGTGTAATAGAAGTCTTTAATTTGAAATAGATAGAGTTTGCTTATGTGTGTGTGTGTAAAATTTTATTTTTTCTGAATTGTGGTAACTTTTAAAGAAGTGATGAGGTTTAATCTGATGATAAATGATTTAAGAATATTGGAAAAATTAACATTTTTCATAGTAAAAATGCCTCGTTTTTACTCGTGAAGTTTTTATCATTTTCATTTCATGCATATAACATGCAACTTCCAGTTGGGAAGTTGAAGAGTGTGAAAATTTGTTTCAGTGCAAAGTGAAATTCAGGATTTAGTAAGCCATTCTATTTTATAACATTTATAATGTGGAATGGAATGTTATGTGTTTTTATTTTCATGAGACTTTGTTAAAATGTCTGTTCCTAATCATGTGTAATGCACTTGATATTGGATGAGTCAATGTCTAAAGCAAGGTAACCTCTCTTTTCTATTAGGAATCGTACACCATCTGGCTCAAGCACACCCATTCCAAGTGGGGCCAAAGTTGCAAGGAAGACATCTGGTGCCTCTGATACAGCTACAGGAACCTCACGCAAGAGTTCTAAAGCTGCCACACCTATTGAATCACGGGCACCATTCAGACTTTAGGGATCAAGTGTATCAACATATGAGCCATTTGTAACTGACATGAAACAAATTTCAAATCAAAATAACTTAGTTTCTTCAAGTTACAAGGTGTGATGTGAAGCAGAAATTATTTCACAATAAAAGACAAATTTAGAGAATTGATTTTCATGTCTTCATGTATTTATAGATTAAAAGTTGTTTTTTAATTACATTTCAGTTAGATTCATCTCACACATTCATTTCTGTAGTTATTTTTACACCTTGAAACTGGAGAGTTCAACACGTTTGTTATAATTCTTTTGAGGGACCATTCATTTTAAGTTCTGGAAATGGCAATGTGATGTTACTGTCCCTGTGAGAAATACTTTTTGTTAATTGTTGGATGTTTTATTTTCTAAGATTATTTTTAAGCAGCACCAGTCTTTTATTTAAAATATGAGGTGGGTTGTGTTTCTTTGTTACAACCATATTAACTTACTTGCTGATAACACAATGTAACTGCAAGATGTGGACACTGTTATGGTAAAGGAGCTGACACCAATATTAGCATGCAGTTACAAAATGGCAATAACAAGTATGTAACAATATATTCTGCTTCATCACACCTTTTATTTTGAAGTTCCTTTGATTAAAGGAACTAAATAATTATAATGTAATTATTAATTTATAACTACATAATTTAAGTATGAATCAAAGTTATGAAAATATAGATGTTTGGTTAAATTAACAACAAGATGAAATAATGCAGTTCAGGGGTTTTACTTTCCATCTGTGTAGAATAAGTATGTGCCATCATTGTCATGTTGGTAAGTTAACCAAACCTAATTTATTTGCAGACTTTAGGAAATAAATCAAACATGCTTTAATTACACACACTGTATACTCTTTTTATAATAGAGCTAATATATATAAATATATATATATTATTTTTATTAACATTCTCAGCTTATTGCCACAAAGTCACTTATGTTTATTCACATACTTGTGATAATTTTAATTTAGTTGTACATTAACATAATCATTGCAGATTATTTTTCACTTTGTATGTTTTTGTCTGTTTTGTACCTAAATGCAATCACTGATAACAGAAGACAGATTGTGATTTGTCGATTGATCGAGTATGACCGTGTTTGGTCGCTGTATATATTCCTAAGGTAACGTCCATAAAACTGTGAGAGCAAGAGTGTTAGTCAAGTTTTGTGTATAAATATTTTTTTATTTGTGAAGTATCCATGAAAAATTTAATATAAAGATACAAGCACAAAGTAAGTACATGTCAGTTCTAAACATATATTCCTTTTGTTTTGTAACATTTCTTTTGCAGTTATGTAAAAGTTTTGTTAAGCAAAGGGCTAGCTGTAGTATTATTATATAGTGAAAGAACTATGTTCAGATTTATAATTATGCTCATTTGGCCAATTAATGTAAAAAATGAGGCTAGTTTATATTATTCCCTATCCCAGTAATCATTTAATGAACTTGGGAGAAAGAGAGGTGCATGAATTTTTCTATGTGCAAACTTCCTTTTGTACGAGTGTTTGAATCTAAGGTATGTATTCGATCGATCGAGCATTATTGTACATGCTATAGAGAAAGTACTGTAATATTGTATTAGATATATATATATATATATATATGTATATGTTAACAGATTTGCTTATTAAATTCTCACAATTGAAGATGTTATTTCATTGCAATATTCCTTTCATATTTCAGGACCATACTTCAGGTTCCCATGATTTTTGTTGGCAGGGAAGATAGGGAAGTTGCTTAAAGTAAACATGATGCGCAGAAATGGTAAGGAAGAACATTAAGGCTGTTGATACAGCAGACACAACAAACAGATAGTACAGGTATAAAGTGTCTATGTGACCATTAAACCTTTTCTTTTGGAGCTAGGGTATGTATTTATTTCAAATTCCCAAAATATTTTGTGCTTCTCAGAATGAAGTGTAACCAGCAAAATGTAGTTTTCTTAGGAAACTAAAAAGAATTATTTATGCCCAACTTTTCATCAAAATTTGCTTTAAAACATGCATCATAATCGTTGCTTGCTTCAATAACCTAACAATAGTGTGTTTAATAGACCTTTGAAAAGTAAAAAGGACGAAAGGAATAGAATTTATGGAAGGGTGCATTTTATTGTAAATTTATTATTACATATACTTGGTATATAACAAAAATATTCATAATCTTAACTTAAGAATAGCCTTCCTAGCTGAACATTTTATAAAGTCTGGGAAGACCTGATAGGCTGTGCTTCACACCTGTTTTTTTTATCAGTCTTGTAATGGAGTGCTGTTCCCAAGGTTGCAACACATGACTTTTTCTCAGCCACACCATTGTAGGGTCATCGCCTGATACCTAAAGCCAACGTGCAGACATGTTTTTCAGGTCAGCGCCTTTCTTCAAGGACTTTTCCAGAAGGCTCAAGTCTTTGAAGTCCGAAGACTTCATAGGTAAAATAGAAAATGGCTTTCTAGGTCTGATAGATACAATAACAGCCCACTCTTCTGGGTGGTAGACAAGTGCTGCCTTTCTGCATCTCTCAATTAAGGCAAAGTCCCTGTTGCAGGGAAGGAAATGTGTACAAAATCTGTAATCACTGATGCATTGATAAGCACCTCCGAAGCGTCAGACAATTACTATTGGAGTACATAATAAAATATCCCAGATGATACACGTGCAGGCGACCAGGAGCAATTGTCAGACGCTAAGGATGTGTATTATCATTAAGTTGGGTTACGTTAGATTAGTAACGCGTATGGCGCAGACGACCATGCACAATGGTCGGATGGTAATAGGTATATTATCATTAAGTTTGTGTAGGTTATAATAGGTTAGGTTAAAGATGGACATGTACAGATGCCCATGCGCAAAGGATAGTTGCCAAGGAGTATATTATCTTCATTACTGGGTAGGTTCGGTTACGTTAGTTTATGTTTGTGACGCGCATTAAAAGCCTCATATAGGGAATCATTTAAGAAATTTAATATTCTTCCACTAGCTAGCGAATTCTTAACCGCTGGGGAGACGTAGATGGGAGGATAATATCAAGCGGGATCTATAGCAGATATAAGTTGGCCCGGGACAGGGACCGGTGGAGGGACCCACATCCTTGGCAAAGGGCTATGAAGCATCTGTAAACTGTAAATAAATTATTTTATTTTCTGTTATACTACGAAGACTTATAGCAAACCTAATGAACGAGATACTATCTTGAACTTTCAATCTGCTTACAAACTATACGATGAGACCGTTAAGACAGAGGTGATATGACTTTCAAAGAGAGTAAGATTTCGATTTTCGTAATTTCGGTGAAATTTTTCGATACCTCGACGTCATTGGAAATTAAAAGATGGAGTTCTTTGTGATAATGAATGTTGCAAAATATGGATAAGACACGTGTCGTTAAATAATTGGCAGAAGATTTCCACTTGTGATATGTGTTGTAATTATTTTCAGTTCAGCTGGTTTTGGGTGTCATTATTAATTGTTATATAGATATATATTCTTGAATAGGTATAATTGCTCTTGTTTTAGTGTCTCAAAGTATGTTAAGTGTTAAACCAAAGTAATAGATAGTACGGATGTACATTATCATTCTTTTACAGGATATATTGACAGAATGAGTGACATAACTGAATGGTTTAAGGGATTGCCCCTTTTTACGCGATGGTGGCTTGCGCTCACGGCAGGATTTTCATTGCTTGGTCGATTTGGAATATTCAAACCTTATCAGTTGGTGCTACTCTACGAACCTTTTATAAAGCAGTTTCAGGTAATAGCATTTGTTAATTAACACTTGGTACACAATCAGATGTGGAACAAATGCAGTTTTACTCTGATGTATGTCTTTGGACATTTTGAAAATTTGGTTGTTTAGTGGTAATATGAAAGATGTAAAATTGGATAGTACTTAAGTGATTGTTATAAGCTTTGAAAACATTTACAGTCTAAAGAGAAAGCAAAACAAGCTTTGATAAGTGTTACCTATATAAAGAAGCCAAGTTTGAATAAAATATTACAGTGATTTCAAATTTCGGTATTCCACATATTGGTACTATATATACTTAGTGCTTATGGAAAAACTGACACCAGTGGTGTTTTTGGGCTACCATAACATGAAGTTTTCAAACCTCACATGAACCATATAGTAATCAACACTGGTTTGTGTGAGGTTTCTTTCACTGTATACAAGTAACCATGTAGTAATCAACACTGGTTCGTGTGAGGTTTCTTTCACTGTATACAAGGGCCTGCCCATTTTATCACTCTCGTGACAAGATTTTTGTGAAGAAGAATAAAGTCGAAACACTCTTTAATGATGGATGTGGTGTAAACTCTGCTTATAGTTGGTAGGCTTACAATTGTTTAATTAAATGTTGAAATGACAGTACAACTCAGCATGTTTGAAAATGCTAATCATCATTGAGACTGCTGACAAAAAAAATGAAGAGCACTGACTTTGTTTGCATGAAGTCAGCTGTAGTGCATGATGCTCGCTTGTTGTGTTGTAATTTATATGTCATCAATAAATTCATGTCTCAGTGTAATATATGAATAATATTTGATGGAGACTAATAAGCTATACTAAAAAGGGGTAATTATGATAACTGCCAGAAATATATACACTCAGCAAGAAACATTAACAAATCTAAAACTTCTTGACGATGGTGAAGAGTCATTCGAATAAAAATTTGCTTGGATATTATCCATCGTCTAGTAAATATAAAACGTAAAACGACGTTTCGGAGATGGGACTCTATCTCCGTCTTCAGGTTCCTACACAGTTGGGCCCACTAGATAGAGCTAACTCCGGACCGGAGATAGGAATTAGCTCTATCTAGTGGGCCCAACTGTGTAGGAACCTGAAGACGGAGATAGAGTCCCATCTCCGAAACGTCGTTTTACGTTTTATATTTACTAGATGATGGATAATATCCAAGCAAATTTTTATTCAAAGAAACATTAACATGTAAATACAGAAATATGAAAGTGACAGAAACAAAAACAAACAGCTACAAAGAAAGTAAAAATGTTTGTAGAATATGGTTACCAGTTGTTTAAGGATTGTGTCTGTAAGTAAAAAAACAGTTCCTTTACATTAGGTCAGTGTGAAACATGCAAAAGTAAAGTACTATATGAATAGAAATAAAAGTAAGCAACTTCTATTGGTAGAATG